AAAAAATTATTATAATTTAATTTAATGCTAAAAGGTTATTCCAAGAATCTATTTTGAGTGAATTAGCTTCAGTAGTTACTGATTTATCGCAGTTTACGTGTCTCTGTACATGGCCGTTATTTGGAAAGTGGGCGTGGCTATCGCCAGATTTCAGGATTTTTAGCAGATATGTTAGATATAGCCACTACCATTTTCCAAAAATTTCATAGTAATCCTATTTTACCTACCTATCCTATTTTGTTTATCACATACCAATTTTCAACAATTTGGATACAATATTTACTGAAATATCTTATATTTATCTAATCATTACTTATGCCACACCAATGTAAAGAAAAACAAATGTTTATTCCGAAATGCATAACATAATTTGGTTCGCCTTACATTCCCGCAGATTTTTAGGGCCGAAAGGTCCTAGAAAACATAACTTTTGCTTATATCTCGAAAACTCTCGAACTATTTTTTTTTTTTTTTGTAATATTCTTCATATTCATATTCTGGTTCAGCGGCCTAAAATTTATCTCTAAAGTTTAATTTTAGTATTAAAATAGATCTAAAGTAGTGTTACTATATACTAATTGCGCTTTTAGATTTTTCTTTAAACGATTTTCTAAGTAAAGAAATACCACTTATCTGCCATTTTCTGCGGGCAATCTTTTTACACTGCACTAGCCAAATTTCTTAGCTTTCAATTGAACAAAGAATAATAATGCGATCTCTATCGGGAATACAATAAATTCCTTGATATTCAACAAAAATTTAAAAAAAGAATACTCGTTGAAAACCACTATTTTCGTTAAAGCGTTAGAATATTCTGTTTCCGGTCAACGGTGAGCGTTCGCTGTGCAAGTTAGAAAAGTGACGGGGACTGGAAAATGTTATTTGGAATGTTCTCTGTCGAATGTGACTATATTTTTGAGTTTCCTTCAAAATTTTGTCAAATTGGTTTATGGCCTCCTAAATCGTTCAAATACCCCTATTTGCGTTGTTAAGCATTTTCTTCCATATAAGGAAAAAATTAAGCATTCTTTATATGGACGAAATTAAAACCCGCAGAGTTGCCATCAAACAAAAATTGTTTGCAGTTTTACTATACCGGTTGCATTTTCAGACAAATTTGTGTATTACAAAACGTGAAAAATGCTGTAGTGGGTTTTCATTTTGAACCAAACCGAAACATTATTTGGAATGGTTTTCGGTCCGGTGTTTGCATTTCAAAATAAAAAACGGTTTGGTTCGAAGCCCAAAAAAATCGACGGTTCGGTTCAAAACCGGTTTGCAGCTCTGATTTTAATAATTTATTTCATTTTTAAACCTGTGGTTACTCTCTCCAAACACCTAAAAAATATTCCTAGTTTTCAAACTTAACTATTTTAATATTTGAAATACTTGTGTATAAGTTAACCAAATTTGAAATTTCAAACAGGTGGGAACTCTCTTTAAGATGCTTTTAAACTAAAACCCTCCGCAATCTCTTTCGCCTGACACTCAAATTCTGTTACATATTCCATTTATCTAATTGCCTTCATTTAAGTTGAATTTGATTATTAACAGGCGGCTACCCCCCTAAATATATTTTAGAAATAAACAATTTTCAAACCCATTACGACTGATACCAATATTTTAGTTATTCATCCAACTTTTTAAATAATTTGAATATCACTTTTTGAATACGTAGCAGCTCTCTTCAAACATTTCAAATGTTCAGACTAAATATTTCTTAACGCTCATTGACTTGACACCCGTATTTTCATATTTCAAATAACTTGTGTGTAAGTTAATACAATTCAATTTATCAAACATGTGACAAGCCTTTTCAAAACAATTTAAAAACTACTATCTTCTCAAACTACTTTCATTTGGCGCCCATATGGTATTATCCAATTCCCTTAATTCATAATTTCAATTTTAAAACAGGTGGCAGCCCCCCCTATAGTTAAGTTAAGAAACAAGCTTTTCAAAACCATTTCGATTGATACACATTTTGAAATAATTGGCTACACTTTTTTAATAATTTTTTTTTAAGGTGGCAACTCTTTTCGAAAATGTAAAACCTTATTTTACATCTGTAGCCCAAGCCTTTTAATTTGACACCTAATTTTGGAAAATCGAACGAACGGTGCGGATTTGATGGCATTGATTATTAAATGATTCAAATTAAATTGTTTATCAAACAGGTGGCAACTGTTTTCGGGAAAGTAAAACCTTATTGCACATCGACAGCCCGGGCGCTTTATATGACACCTCATTTTTGAAAATCGAACGAACGGTGCGGATCTGATGACCTGGAAAAAAATCCCTTCGCGTATTATATATCTGTGGTCATAAGAAATAACCGCCTAAGTCGACTTAAGAAAAAATTTAGTTATATATGCTATCGTTTTCTGCAACTACTATTCTATGTTTATGTGAAACTCCCATCTCATTAGCTAAGCTATTTAAAAAGTTATATATGCAAATATTTTGGTTTCCTCATAAGGTTATCATTACAATCCAAATCTTTAAAGCGGTTTTTCTCGAATTCAGGTTTTTCGACTTGGGCGATTATTGCTTATGACCACAGATATATACCTACATATGTAGATAAGTAGATAGATATACATAGATAACTAGCTTATTGTAGGCTCAATCCCAGCAAACATTGAGGTGAGTTACCGATTAGAGAATGATAGGAGAACTAGCCACATTCTCCAATTTCAAACGTTAGAAAACGACTCGAAAAAACTATTAGGAACCATAGGCTATGGGCGTAGCCAGGTAGGGGCAGGGGGATGCTCGAGCTAACTTTCAAATTTTCCTTATATATATATAAAATAGTACCCTGAAATGCCAGCTTAATAGGGTCGAGCTCCCCCTCCCCCCCTAAATTTCATTCTGGCTACGCCAATGACCATAGCAATCTCAACAAAAATGTGACATAGTTCTCGACTCGAGAAAATATTAATTCTCTAATCGAATTCTAATGTTGATCTCTAATGGGATTCGAACGTGAATTTCAAACTACTATTTTGCTTTATTAAATAAAACGCTTTGTTGTAAAATTTGTATTAAATGTGTTTGAAACAAAGTGACAATGAATTATTTGAACTTAAAAATAATTTATGATTCATTTATTTGGAATATTGCTTATTTACATTTATTTGAATTTGCGTTGTTTCTCTAATCGTTCTCGAATCGAATTCCAATGTAGTTCTCTGACTTCGCCATCGACTCGAGAACGATTAGAGAATTACCTTATGAAGCGTTCTCATTGAGCCATTAACTCGAGTTAATGGGCCATTTTGGAGTTTAACGCCTTAACCCTTCTCTTAAACTCGGATTTTACCATACAAGAAATTTCGTTAAACTCTCCTTTTTTACCCGATTTGGCTTGTGTCTTTGATAATCCAAACCTGAAACCAACTCGCCGACAGTTAGTCTGTTCCCATACTGCAGGATTTAATCAGAATTAGTCCGAGGTCGTCCTGTGCACATAAGTCTAGAATATCAACAATCTAGCGATGCAAAGACCAAAAATGTGGCTAGATAGAACTTTTTGTCCTGATTTCAGCCCTACCAAAATTATCTGGCGAAAGTAAAAAATAAAGAAGATATCAATGGTTAAAGTTAAATTTTCTGATTTTTTTAATATTAATATCTTCTGGACAACATAACCTATTAAAAAACTAATGACGTTAAAATAAAGGTAATTAATTTGTCTTTCATGTGTGTATATAATTTATATGCTTTTTTTATATTTTTAGTCCGGAAATACTAAAAAACAAAATAAAATTAGTTGTAAAACTGGTTATAGTATATACGTCGCATAAAAGGCATTTAAATTATATTGAAATTATCATCAATATTTTTTTAATCGGTTAAGTAGTTTCCGAGATATTAAACACATAAGAAATAGATAAGTTGAACTTTAACCTCTTTTATTGGTTTTGGTTTTTATTTGCACCAAATAATTTTGGTATGGTTGCAATTTGCGTAAGAAGTTCTATCGTTCCTCATTTCTTGTTTTTTTTTTGTATAGCTAAACGGTTGGTATTCTGGACTTATGTGTGTGACTGTTAAATCCTGTAGTACGGGAACAGACTAAATGAGAATAAGAAAAAGTAAACAAAAAAATTTCACATAAAACTCTGAGTTTCTTAAATACCCCAATGTGAACGCCTGAGAGTAGTTCATAAACTCAAAACGTTAAACTCGAGTGAATGGCTCAATGAGAACGTAATGTTAGTTATCCAATGTAGAAATCCGAATTTCTCTAACGTTAGAGACTGTGTTTGCTGGGATTGCATTGGTTAATTTTGAATTTCAACAATCACACCTTTGTCTTAATATCTAAGTGCGTACATATGTAAATATGTATATGATTTTATTCTCATTTAATCACAGGTGTGGATATTCGGTGACGTCTGGTGCCGCATATGGCTTGCTGTCGATGTGTGGATGTGTACAGCATCAATATTGAACCTATGTGCAATTTCTCTTGATAGATATGTAGCTGTTACGCGTCCTGTTACCTATCCAAGTATAATGTCGACGAAGCGCGCCAAGTCGCTGATTGTTGGAATTTGGGTGCTATCATTTGTTATTTGTTTTCCGCCACTAGTCGGTTGGAAGGAGCAAAAGGTAAATATGAATATATCTACTATATGTACATACTAGGTATGTACGAAAAAATATGTTTGGCTGTAAGCCTTCTTAAGCCTCTTTCTTTTGGCGCCCATATTGCAATATCCACTTTTTCTTATCAATTTACTTAAACTACAATTATCAAAAAGGTGGCTACTCTCTAATTTTTTTCTTTCTATATTTTAAGTTAGACCTCTATCAATATATCGGTGAAAACTGCATTCAATTCTCTGTATTCGTTTTCGAGTGATGCGCAAAATTGCAAAAAGGCAAAAAGGCAAAAAAAGGCAAAACAAAATAGCGAAAAAGGCAGGAAAAGACACTAGGAATTACAAAAAAAAGCAAAATAAGGCACTAAAAAAATACAGAAAATACGAAGAACAATCAAAACTTACATTTATTTTGGAAATATTTATATTACAAATAAACAGAGAAAAACTATGAACTAGTTTCATTATATGAAAAATTTATACTTTGAATCTTTGACTATTTTATCCTTTCGAGTTTCTTTAAAACTTTAATCTGTATAGTTGTAGTAACATTGAACAACAAGATGCATTTTGAAGTTTTCTGGCAGCATTTTCATTCGATTTTCGCGAAGAAAAGCCTTGAATGTACTAAATGTGCGCTCGACGTAAGTTGATACAAGTGGAGCCCAATTTAAATATGGAGCGTTTTCCTCGCCCTTTACAATTTTATCCACACCCCTTATTGTCTCCAAGCCTACGTTAGCTGAGAAAAGGCCTTTGAATTTTTCCAACACCAATTTGGCAAGAGGTCCCTGCGCTTCTATAAGCCGCATGGGCATGTGTATATTTTTTAATCTTAAAAAACAAATTGTAAATGCTATAATCACTTTTTTAAAGGTAGAAAAGGCAAAAAAAAGCAAGTATCTTAAAAAAGGCAAAAAAAGGCAACATCAAATGTGTATATATGGAATCAGGGAAAGCTAAATCGTGGACATTCTTAATCGAATATACTCTATCTCTTTAGCAGAAAATAGGCAATTTCCATAAAATCCGTTCCCTGGTGATAAGCAATAACATATAAATGTAAAATAACAAGAAATTAATGTCTAAAAGTGAATATTTTTCGTATTTCTTATTCTTATCGATGTAAATCAGACAAACACAAACTTTAAGAATCAAAAATTGAAAATTCAAGTGTTTTTAAATGTTTGGAATGAGAATCTAAGCATGAGAACAGAAACCCAAAGTATACGGCAGTACGGTTTGGCAGCACTAACAAATGACACAAACATATATTCTGCCATTGCTACTTTTAACTTTCAAATAAATTTTCTTTATGCTAAATATTTGTTTAAGTCAATATTATTTAGTTTAAATGGAATTTCCCTCATTTAGTGAGTTCATTTTTATAATTTCGTCTTCTTCGTGCTAGTAGTATAAAATTAGTGCTGCCAACTCCAACAAGAATGATCCAGACCGTTTCCGTGGGGAATGATCGTGATACTGAGCTGGATAATCCAAATGAAAACAACTAATGATGTTTTTCAAATAAGGCAGATCGGAATATGCGCTCTCTGGGAAGACAATACCTACGGTTGCCAGACGTACTGATTTTATCAGTACAATACTGATTTTTCAACTCTTGTACTGATTTTACTCATTTCTTCAATCAGTACGCTAATGTCCTGATTTTTCAAAATTTGTACTGATTTGTACTGAATTTCCAATTCAAACAAAATACTTTAGGATTTTCTTACGCTTTTTAAACTGTACTATAAAAAGTAAGATGAAAATAATTTAATTATAGTTGACATGTTTCATTTATTTAATTAATACAACAAAAAGTTCAATCGTGTTATGGGCATATCGCCGGGTCTTTGCGTACCAGTTGCGATAATATGATGGAGCTTAATTTATTTAAAAAGAAGGCTCTCGAAAATAACTTTCAGTTTAATAACAACAAATTTGAATATTCGAATGGCTTTTGCCTATAACTTACAACTCTTTTTCACAATTTACTGACACTTTAATAATATTGCATAAAAGATATAGAGTTAGATACTCTCTTTAGCGAATTCTTAGTCTTTTAAAGTTTTTGGGTAGTTGAAAAAATAAATTTAAGCCATCAGGAATTATATGTATATGAAGTCCTTAAATAGTGGTACTTCTCCGCAGTTTGAAAATATATATAATTTGGTTTTTTTTTTTCAATACTACACTAAAACGAAGCAACTCAGAGGATTTTAAGTATAAATATATATATATATATATTTGCTTGCTGGCGCAAAGAGAGCAACCGGCTTCTAATTAAAATTATTTAAAGTGAACTTCATATCCATATCGTTGTAAAGCTCATACAGCTCATCGTTCCATCGTCTGCGGTACTCGCCGTCGCCATCGCGTAAAGGCCCGTAAATCTTCCTCAAAATCTTTCTCTCAAACACTCCAAGAGCCGCCTCATCGGATGTTGTCATTGCCCATGCTTCTGCGCCATATACCAGCACGGGCATGATGAGTGACTTATAGAGCGTGGTTTTCGTACGTCGAGAGAGGACTTTACTCCTGAATTGCCTACTCAGTCCAAAGTAGCACTTTTTGCAAGAGTAATTCTGCGTTGGATTTCAATGCTGACATTATTAGCGGTGTTAAGGCTGGTTCCCAAGTAAACGAAATTCTCTACTTTCTCGAAATCGTAACTGTCAACAGTGACGTTGGTGCCAAGGCGCGAATGTGCTGACTGATTGTTTGATGCCAGGAGATACTTCGTCCCTATCCAACTTGGATAAGGCAGAACAGACTTCGCGGTTTTTGTTACCGATGATGTCGATGTCATCGGCATAAGCCAGCAATTGCACGCTCTTGTAGCAAAACTGACTTCAACTTCGCTGTAAATTAAACAAAGCAAAACATGAATTTTATGCGATGGAATTTTCCACAGAAAGTAAGGTTAGAAAGTAATTTTTGGATATCTACATATATATTAGGGATGCCAAAATAACAGGAATATTGGGATCCCGGGTTTTCCCGGGAAACTGAGTCATAAATTTTATGAACATGAGTAAAAAACAATATCTGCAAGCATTTAAACATACCATTAAATAAAACTATTTAAAACTTACGATAAACTGGTTGTAAAACTCATATATCGCTAGCTTAGGGTGAAAAGTTGCTAACTTCACCTTTAATTAAAAATCTTATTTTGATATAGGATAGATAAATTAAAATTGCATCGTTTCGAAAAGGGTAAAGGTCCTGGTTTTATGTTTTCTCGTTTGCTAAGGCCAAAAAAGCTCCGAAAATTCGATAAGGCCAAAAAAGTTCGAAATCTTTTAATAAAGATCGAATCCCTCTGATTCGTATGGAGTTTTGCTTTGCTTTAAACAGGCAAAATGTTGTACTCAAAGTTTTGCGAAATACTTGAAGAAACTGGATATACGAAGCTTTTTCCTCCCCTGTACAATTTTTACATTGGGACTTAGCAACTTTGCGCTCTACGCTTGCGATATTTATTTATTCAATCAGACAACTTTTAAAGTAAAACATTTTTTTAATTGTATTTAAAAAACCATGTGATTGAGGAACGTATACATCACAAATAATAATTTAAATACCAGGTACTTTTGAAAGTAACGATTAATAAAAAAACATAAAACAAAAATATACAAAAACAATTTCTCTAAACACGTTTATTCTACTCTATAAAGAAATGGCGAATGGAGAATTGTTTGCCTTTTTTCGCAATTTACTAGAAATTTTGAGGGTGTCGAGTCAAACGGATCTCAGAATCGGATTCAACGGGTCGAAATACATGGTAGTTGGGTCTGGTTAAAAACACACACCCAATTTTTGCCGGTGTTGTTATTATTGCACTTAAAATGATTTCGTAAGAGCAGCAAAGCATTCAAAACGGAGTCTTCTAAGCTTAACCTGCAGTTTTTACATACGAAACCTACTATTAAAAAACATATTTCGGCATCAACACTTTTAGGCTGAACTGTCAAAAGGTAGACATAATCCATTTGAAGAATGAACGACCCCTATCTCCTCCATTACAAAATATTTGAAATTCTTTTACCAGCACGTCGGTCAAATTATAAGTTTTTCGATTTGAGGAAATTTTTTCTTAAAACTCTCTGTTTCGCTTACATTAGCGACGCTATGAGTAAATTCATTGAAATCTTCTTCAAAAAAGGCTCAGACTGCAATTTAAAAGTACAGTTTCAAGCTTTTTGTTAATTGCAGTCAAAACGGCATTTTACAAAAATCATACTTCAAAATTCATAAACAAATTCTTACTATCAATTCGATATTTCAAAATTTTCGGGATCCAGGGATTAATGAAAGCAAATCCCGGGATTTCCGGTACGTCAAATACGCCGGAATCCCGGGATTCCGGGATCATCGAGATGGTTTTGAAAAGGCTGTATAACTTAACTATGTATAGGAGGGTTGCCACATGTTAAAAAAAAAAGTAATTCAATTTTAATTAAAGGAATTTGGTAAGTGAAAAAGGTATCGCTATATGGGTGTCATACAAAAGAGGTTTAAGAAGGTAGTAGTTTGAAAATATGTTGAATAGGGCTGCCACCTATTTGAGAAGTCTAATTGAACTATTTTTTATGTGTAATATTAACGATGGATGTAAAATGAAAGAGCTTCAAGAAATACTTAGTTTGACAATTTAGAACAGTTTTGATGTGTTTGAGGGTTGCCCCAGTTTAAAGGGCTCAACCAAAATTATTTAATAAGTTAAATGAATTACTAACCGATGGTTATTAATGAAAATGGGGTTAAAAGCCTTTATTTAAGAACTAAATTTAGGAGAATTGCCACGTGTCAAAAAAATAAATTTCCACTTAATTCATCAGTTACATGAAATATTTATAATAATGTGAGACGAAAAATATTTAGGGAAAGTTTAGTTCGAAAATAATTTTTAAGCTTTGAAAGTGGTATTTCGTTTAATTATACATAAGTTACATGAAATTTCAAAATATGGCTGTTAAAAGAACGAGTGTTAAGAAATCTTTAAGCTGAACATTTTTTTTTTGTTAAAAAAATTTAACTCAAATTATTTAATACGTTAAATGGATTGTCAAAAGATGGGTTCATCTTTCAAAACTTTAAAGAGTAAAAAATTGCCCGGGCATCTTTAAGAAGATAGACAAGCGATATAAATGTTTTTTTTTTTTGATTTTGTGAAATGAGTGACTATCGCTTTGATAACTTCCAACAGTGACAGTGACGTAGAAGTGACATGATGGCGATAGGCGATAAAATTCTCTTCCATTTGCTGCAGGGACATTGGCTGCATTTCTTTATTCATTCTGAACGTTTGGAATAAACTTTTTTGTTTATTTATTCTTTAGAACGTTCCTGATGATATGTTGACGCATATTTCAAACGCATTCTGTTTATTTCGGCTGTGAAATTGGATTATCCGGAATGTATAAAGAAACGCAGCCATTTTGTCAAAACTCTAATGTCAATAGTGAGCAACCCTTTAATTATTGAATCATGACGCTTTTTTTATATACATTTTTCTTTATCTCTAATACATGTATATACATACCTTTTTCCAAATTTTCTTCCACTTTCATATCAGCAATTAGTGCAATCCACATATATACGTGGAAATTACACACTTTTTCCTTCAACCACCGCAACATTGGCATCGGTGCAACATCAACAAACACAGCAGCCAAAACAATATCAGAGCAATGAAAAAATTGTTTTAACGGAGACAACTTCAGTAATGTCGATGACAGCTGCAGATGGTTTTAACTATCATGACTCCGCTTTTGTGGCCCTGGAGAGTGAAGAATTCATGGATGGTACAATGCCTGCGACACTTTTCTACGGGAAGCCTTTGTGTGACTCGAAGTGTGAATTAACTAATGATCGCGGCTATGTAGTGTATTCGGCGTTGGGCTCCTTCTATATTCCAATGCTTGTGATGCTCTTTTTTTATTGGCGCATATACCGGGCGGCTGTGAGAACAACGCGGGCTATCAAACAAGGATTCAAAACCACTAAAGGTAAGAGCAGTTACTATTTAATGCTTCAAAAATATTCCGTCTTTTGGTTTTTTTTTTTGTTAGTAGTTTTAGCTGGCAATAATTTACAATATTTAATGTATATATTATTAACCGCAATATATTTATTCATACACCTCCAATACATGTACATACATAGACACGTACACCTATTCCACACTTGCTGGTGCAAAATTTTGTTGTCGTAAAATTGGTTATACATACTACGTATTAAAGCAACCGTTCAAAATACATATTCTGTATCCAGTAGGTATTTATACATAGATACGTATGACTACATATTATTCAATAGGGGTATTCTTGAAATTTTGCAAAGCCGTTGCACGTAGCACGGATTGCATAATTTGCAAGCACCCAACAACAAAATGCATGCGGAGAAGCATTTCCTATCGTTGCAAAGTATGAAACGTCTGAACCCATGCACATATTTTGCTAAAAAGCATAGCAAGATAAATGCGACTCTGTGCTAGCTGCTTTGTTGTTGGAATTGCTACATATTTGGCTGACTTCCAAAACTCTCAATTGCTTTGCATACGTACAAAGTAGAATGTCCCATAACGCCGAACTACAAAATGTTGACAATGTATCTTTTCTCTGACAACTGACGTCAATTGGAAATGCCAAGTCCTTCTCCACCTGGTCTTTCCATTGCCTCCCTCTTCCTCTGCTACCACCAGCGAGTTCCGAGCTGAATACTTTCAGAGCTGGGGCGTCGGTGTGCCCAAGTAAACGATATACTCTACTTTGTCAAAATTATAACTGTGAACAGTGACGTGGGTGCTAATGCGCGAATGTGCTGACTGTTTGCTTAATGACAGAAGATACTTCGTCTTGTTCTCTTTTAAACTCTCTCGCTCTCTTGCAAACGGCAGAACAGACTTAGCGCTTTTTGCTACCGATGATGCCGATGTCATCGGCATAAGTCGGAAATTGCAAGTAAACGAAACTCTCTACTTTCTCGAAATTATAACTATCACAGTGACGTGGGTGCGAAGGCACAAATGTGCTGACTGTTTGTTTGATGACAGGAGATACTTCGTCTTGTTCTCGTTTACCACCAGACCCATTTGCTTTGCTTCCTTATCCAACTTGGACTTCGCGGTTTTTGTTACCGATGATGTCGATGTCATCGGCATAAGTCGGAAATTGCACACTCTTGTAGTAAATTGTTTCTGAGCGGTTCAGTTTGGGGGCGAACGGCTCGGAGAGGTCTTTCCCAATTCTGACGGAGCTGGTGGTATTGCCCAACGTCAAAGTGATGCCAAATTCAGACGAGGTGCTATCGTACTCTTTCAAATTTGGAATAGTATTTTTGCATTTCGTGCAATCCGTGCATCGTGCAAGACTAGTATTTTCTAAATATATTAGGGCAATCATCTAAACGAGTAAATTCCTCGTAGCCACGGAATCCTCGTAAACTAACTTAATTCTGCATGGAAAACCAGTATACTATTACGAGGCATTTACGCTTTTAGATGAATACCCATACTGATGTATATACAAAGTATATACACATTTAGAAAGCTTCCATATACGAGTATACATACATATGTACATTAGGGTGATTCAAAATTGGAACTTTTTGAATTTCGACTGAGAACGTTCGGATTCTTGAAGATAAGAGAAAGGACAAGTTTATTCTAAAATTTCAGCTTATTTGAACAAGATTTAGAGGTCGCTCAACGCTGTTGTTTGTTTTCCGGAAACTACAG